CTAGAAAGCTTCGATTTGACTTTAAAAAACAATAAAATTTGTACTAGTCACCACAGCTATTTGAGCAGTTGTTTCTTCTCCAACGACTTCAGAACTGCTTCTTCAAATAGCTGCAGCTATCCGAAACAGACCCTTAGTTTAGATGATGTTGGATTCAAGTCCAAAAAAACTTAATGCACGACATTGTCATATTCTTATTAATTATGGATGCTTATTGTCCTTCAAGAGCAACATTCAAACACCATCTTTTTTGCTGCTCATTCTTAAGAAAGCAATTAAGTTGATCACCCAAGAGTGTTTGATTTTTTATGTTATGTTTTGACCATCACTCTATATTTATCAGTGATTAAGTGGTAGTCAATGCAGGAAAATAACTTCCTCAAACTTCTAGATCTTTTGGTCTTCCCTTACCCTGCCCTACCCTCTCTCAAGAAAATAACTAGGTTGATTCTCATATTTGTCAAATTTTTTTATCATTCCCCATTGATTATCATTTAATGCATGTCTTCTTAATTGCATTTTTTCCCTCTTATCACAAAATCAACCTAGCAAACTACGCACAGTCGCATATATTCTTATGTCTGACCAAGCAGACTGAATGTTATTGTTTACTCCTAACAATTTCCCCTGATCATCAACCAAATGAGATTTGTCAGTCATATTATTTGTCGCTTCTTCTCCCCTCTGTTATTCTTGTTAACCATCATACAATATTATCAATGACTGATATCTACTATTTATTTGTCATCAATATCACATGTACATCTTCAAAATCATTTAGTCTCTCTTTATATGAGGAAAACAATTATTTTTTTCATTTGTCTAACAAATAAGTTCTTAAAATTTACCAGTGTTTGCCAACTTACATTGTCATCCTGAGAGGAGACCAATTTTTGTCGTTCATAATAACCAAATATAAAATTATATGTCGTAGCTTTGTCAGCGTTGTTTGTAGCCCTGATCCATGCTAGAGCATCACATCGATGTTTGTTGATAGAAGCAAGATTAGCCATTTAATATAAATAAATTAAGTTTAATTGATTGGTATAATATCTTTATATGTTACAAATCTCTATAATGTATGACAAACATATAGACCAGTACCTAACACCACTCTTTGTGTGGGTTCACCATAAAGTTCAGCCTTCGTTGGCTTTCCTCGCATGGAATGCACTCATATTGAGGTATAAATGATTATAAACAAAACATATATAATAGTGTATCTTATACACAATAATACTATTTCAAGTATATAGCCCTATTGGAAGACTTCCACACAACACCCTTCTCCATCATCAATTTTGACGAGCCACATCAGGTTCATGCCATTCAATTTACGTGCATGTCTATATACATACATACATATATACATAACATACATACATACATACATACATACATACATACATACATACATACATACATACATATACATATATACATACATATATACTTACATACATACATATATACTTACATACATACATATACAAGTGAAATATATCTTTTCATGATTATATTTTTATGTAATTGAAACATTAAAATATTATATAAATAATTATCAAAATTGAGGATCATTTGGAATCACCTTTATTTATTTATTTTTATTCATATTTTAATTTTAAATAAAATATATTTGATTCCTTCAGATGTGATTTTTTTTTTCTAAAATACTAAAATCACCAAAATATTATTTTGTGAATTTTTTAAAATATATTAATTTTTTTTAGAAAAAAATATAAAAAAAAACAAACTAAACAAAGTTATTTTTCAGAAAATTAAAGAAAAAAATAAAATCAAAATTAAAACAACATTAATCCCAAACAAAGCCCCTTGGTACTGAATATGTGAATATATTAAAATTGACTGTGGCAAGTATAAATATCTCAAATATTAATTTAAATTGGTTACTAATTATTTATCCAGCCAAAAAATCATTATTCTTATGTCCTATTTAGTTGAACTTTTATCTTATTTGAAGGTTTTTATTATTTATGCAATCACTTTTCTTTTTAGATATTCATACATCATCAATAAAATTCATGAATCTCGAGTTGATTAACATAAATTTTGAAATATTTTTTAGTAAGAAATCCTTAAACTCAAATAAAATATTTTTCAGAACTCTGATGTCAACAAACTTACAGTCAACCAGACTAGCTCAATGAGATGGACCCGATCACACCAAAATTGGCCCAATCTGAGTCAAGTTAAGCCTATATGAAGCTATGAACCACTTTTGAAAATTTTAGATGGCTGAGTAGAATGTCAAATGGATTACAAGTATGAGAAACTTATAGTTAAATCGAGCGTCTCAACAAGACAATTCCAACGAGAATGTGTTTGCTCACTTCCAATATTGTTAAGACAATCAAATATTCATAAAATGTCGTTCGCTTAAGGGGATCTCTCAAGATCATCCGATGGAGTGACTCAGATTTCTTCGTTATTTGCAGGGAGGCTGCTCCCAAACTCTATAAATAGAGTTTTACCACATTCATGAAAGGAGACCAAAACCATGAATCAGGGGAAGACATGAGCATGGGGATAATCAAGAGAATGAGCTAATTTTTTATGTTGTTTTTGCACCGAAAATATGGCGAATGCCTCCCACTTTTACAGTCATTGACCATTGTCAGCCACCACTTGTCGATCGTCATTAACCGCCATTGGTTGCCCATTGCTCGATGTAGCAAAGCCCTGTGCAGAGTCAAGACATATGTTAATGAGTAACAAAACACTGTGCGGAACAACGACAAACGAAACATAATAACAAACCATCATACGAACCAACACATCATCACGAGCTTTGTGCAACAACATTCTTCAAATGCAAATCAAACAGTTACTTCCAACAACAACTGCTCCTGATCATTGTATGAAAGTTTCATCAATATACGAACATTGTATTTTGATGAACTGCATGACCATTTTATGTTTATGGAACAAGGGCCTACACATGTAATTACAAACTCATAATAGATCATTTCAGTTCAACTAGGTCTCATGATTTTTAAAATTACAACCTTTGTTTTACATTAAAAAAAAAGTAAAAAATTTTAAAGACTTACATACATTTCACCCAATTCTTATGTATTTATATATCTAACACATAAACTTTAATTTTTACATACATGTCATGTTTTCTATCCATGAAAAAGTGAATCTCACTTGTTAAAAGTAAAAATTATCATGTTTTTTATATGGAAGATTTTGGTGGTGTAAATGTAAATGTTTGTACATTCTCCGAGATATGTTTTTAGTAGTGATTAGAATATTATTCTTTAGTTATTTTAGCACAATAATCCTACATTATCTCATTTATAACAAATATATATTTTAAAGGAATAGCCGAAGGCTATTAGACGAGCCCCGACTATCCTTAGGTGTGCTCAATATTCTAATACCACACTTTACACATTGAGAAAATTCAAACCCGTGACCTGAAGGAACTTCGACATTCAGAGAGACTATTCTATCAACAGATCACGAAACTCGCACACCCAAACGATATATA